CCTAATCACTCACGGGCAGGTCACGTGACTCGGCGCACAATCACTCATGGGTCACGTGACTCGACACACACACACTCGCGGGTCACGTGACTCGACGCACACACACTCAGGCGTGGGTCATGTGACTCGACCCGCGCACGAGTGTGTGTCGAGTGAGTCACGTGACCCATGAGACAACAATCACTCATGGTCACGTGACTCGACACACTCATGGGTCACATGACTGGTGTAAGAGAGCATCACTGAGACCTGCTGTGCTGGGAGGCGTCGAGTGCGAGGAAGTGCATGCTGGGAAACACTCGAGGCAGGGCGTTGAAGTGCGGCGCGAGGCTGGCGGAGAACTGGCACCACGGCGTGTAGAACAGCACCAGCGAACACTCGGAGCCGTTGGCATTCAGGAGCTCCATCAGGTCCTGTAGGAGAACACACGTTACTGAGCCGACCACCTGTGTGTGTGTGTGTGTGTGTGTGTGTGTGTGTACACACGTTACTGAGCCGACCACCTGTGTGTGTGTGTGTGTGTGTGTGTGTGTGTGTGTGTGTACACACGTTACTGAGCCGATCACCTGTGTGTGTGTGTTGTGTGTACACACGTTACTGAGCCGATCACCTGTGTGTGTGTGTGTGTGTGTGTGTGTGTGTGTGTGTGTGTGTGTGTGTGTGTGTGTTGTGTGTACACACAAGTTACTGAGTTGTTCATCTGTGTGTTGTTAGAGTCACAAATGATTTGCTCTTATCATCCGATCGTGGTTGTATCTCTCTATTAGTGTTACTCGATCTTAGTGCTGCATTTGATAATATTGACCACAACATTCTTTTAAATAGACTCGAAAATTATGTTGGCATTAGTGGAGTTGCACTAGCATGGTTTAAATCACACTTATCTGACCGTTACCAGTTTGTAGCAGTAAATGAAGAGATGTCTAATCGATCACAAGTTCAGTATGGCGTACCACAAAGCTCAGTACTAGGACCGCTGCTGTTCACTCTGTACATGCTTCCCCCCCCCCCCCCCCCCCCCCCCCCCCCCCCCCCCCCACACACACACACTCTGTACATGCTACCATTAGGAGATATCATTAGGGAACATGGAATTAGTTTTCACTGTTATGCTGATGATACTCAGCTTTATATTTCTTCACGCCCCTACGAAACTTACCAATTCACAAAATTAACGGAATGCAGAGCTGATATAAAAAATTGGATGACTAGTAATTACCTACTAAATTCTGAGAAAAAAAAAACAGAGATTCTAATTATTGGACAAAAAACTTCCACACGTAACAGCCTAGAATACTGTCTAACACTTGATGGCTGCTCTATTAAGTCTTCGTCGTTGGTTAGGAGCCTGTGTGTGTGTGTGTGTGTGTGTGTGCTCTTTGATACCAATCTTTCATTTGAAAGTCATGTGTCTAGTATCTGTAAAACATTTTTCCATCTTAAAAATATATCTAAATTACGCCATATGCTCTCATTGATGAATGCGTAACAATTAGTTCATGCGTTCATGACCTCAAGGCTAGATTACTGTAATGCTCTACTGGGTGGTTGCCCTGCACGCTTAATAAACAAACTCCAGCTGGTTCAAAACGCCGCAGCTCGAGTTCTTACCAGAACCAGGAAATATGACCATATTAGCCCGGTTCTGTCAACACTGCATTGGCTCCCTATTAAACATCGTATACTTTAGGTCGTATACTGGTCAAACTGTGCAGCCTCTCTGCTCAACCCGTGAATAAATGCATCGATCCGCAGATCTTATGTTTGAGTTCTGTAGATCTTTTGCCAAGCGTGTCAGAGGTTACGGGTTCTAAACCGCACTTGTATAGTTTTTTCTTTCTCATCAAAACCGAATATGTTCATCACGTTTGTGTACATTTTATTTTGTGCTTTCACCGGAGTCTCCACAACGGCGATAGATTGAAGCGCGCGTCCGAGTGAAGACTGCGCGAGCCACAGAGAACACTGTATCCATGAGACTGATAGCAGCGGACACGAGCGCGCAGCTTGATTTCAAAAACAACAGATCTCTTATTTAATAGCGAACTAAATTAATGCTCTGCTAGTTAACTGGAGATACCCGCAAATTACGCCTATGAACGACTTCACTGGATCTAAACAAATCAATCTAACCATAGATGTTACCAGTAGCGGTGGCTTTTTAAAATCTATTTAAAATATTTTCGCAAGGGTTCTATGACATTATTATATATTTTTAGGAAGTTCAATGTGCCCAGTCGAGTTCACATTTCAACAGTCAGCCTGGTAGCTGAAGTACTCCTTACACCACATTTAGGATAATTGTTTGTTTGATCTGACTACAGCACTTTAAAGCTAAATGTAAAAGCTTTTTATTTAAGTTTTATTTTAAACTTGAATTAAATGCATTTGAAAGCTGGCCAAAGTGCTTGGCACTTTGCACTTTTTAGTTGCAAAAGTTTTTTTTATGTATGAAGACAAAGTAATATCAAACTACATTTAATTTGTTGTGTTTTGTTTTCTTTTAAATTGTTTCAACTGCAATCAATCACATAGGAAAAAGTAAACTACATTTATATACTGCGAATCGTTTTTTGAATCGAGAATCGTTTTTGAATCGAATCTTGAGACAAAAAATCGGTATCGAATCGTGACATTTTCTGAATCGTGCACCCCTAGTATACATGTTAAAATATTGCTGATTACTTACAAAGCACTAAATGGTTTAGCTCGGCAGTACTTGAGCGAGCTCTTAACGCATTATTAGGCATCTACGCTAATGTCAGTCTTTCCATTTATTCCGAGGTTTACTGAAGTCAGCCGGATCCGGGCCGTATCCAGATCAGACGGTGGACCTGCGCCTAGACACGTCCACAACACATCCCTGCAGTGCAGCCTCATCAGCGCTGTGAAGGCCTCATGGACACCTCAACAGACTCGTCTCCATACCCGGCGTGACTCCGACCTCCAACCAGAGGAACTGCATAATATTGTGAATGTTCTGATCCAATCTGACCTGTAATGTTGCCTGATCATAATCACACACTGTTCGCTCGTTGGCCAGAGGAGAACTGGCCCCCGACTGAGCCTGGGTTCTGCCAAGGTTTATTCTTCATTCTGTCACCTGATGGAGTTTCGGTTCCTGCCACTGTTGCCTTGGCTTTTGGCTTGCTTAGTTGGGGACATTTAATTATTCAACAATATTTTAGATCTTACTTCAGGTGGACGATGAAGCAATTTTATTCTAGAAACAAACTTCTTGTATTTATTTTCATGTTATGACTGAAGCTGCTTTGATACAATCTGTATTGTAAAAAGCGCTATATAAATAAAGATGACTTGACTTGTGTGACGCACCTGAGACGCGTGTGTGTGACGCACCTGAGACGCGTTGAGCACCTGCACCGCGAAGCGCTGGATCCCGCTGGTGTTCCTCAGGTCGCAGGTCACCTTAAAGGTCTTGGCGGCCTCGGTGAAGTTCTGGCTCTGGCTGTGTGTTTCCCCGCTGTCTCGGGCCTCCTCCGGCTGGTCCTCCTCCGCACACGGCTCTCCCAGCACGGCCTCCTGCAGGTCTCTGGGGATCAGCTGCTGTATCGCAGCGGGAGAGGGGGCCGCTCCCATCAGCGCGTCCGCCATCTCGGCCGTGTTAAAGCGCCTCTGAGGCGGCTCGGGGTCCTCCGCCACATCTGCGGGAGAACACACCTCAATCACCGCATCACCTCACCTCACACGGGCTAACTGGCCGCAGCTCATCACAAACGCGTTATAAGCGGTATTAGTGTGTTCATACCTGCGCAGGAGAGCCGCACGAGCCCGAAGACGAAGAGCGACAGCGCGAACCGCATCTCGAGTCCAGCGCGACTGACGCTAATGTTGATGTTGTGTTTCTGTGAACTCGAAGGGAAAGATTCGACTTCCGGTTCACGACACTTCTACTCGCTTTTTAATAAAGCTTTATTACCGTGGCTGTATTACAGGAAATATTCGTGATAGTGAAACAATACGTCAATCACAAGCAAATGCTGTCGATTAATATATATTTTTTTATACAATAAGCAGTTTATTTCTAAAGCCGAACTCAGGAATATTTTGTTATTGTAGAAAGTATATACAAAACTTAGAATTGTTTAATTCTCTAAATTACTTCCTGACACGTAAAAGAAAATCCGCACCAGTTGTTGAAATGTATCTATAAATTAAATGTATTATCCGGTAAACATAGAGGACTGTGATTGGTTCATACTCAGAAGCGCGAGGGAAAGTAACATAAAACACGTGACCTCTTCGGTAGCGGCTGCGGGACGAACAATAATATTTTAACTTTAATAGTCACTTTAATAATATTTTAACTTTAATAGATGCTTTAAAGCAGCAGCTTTACAGTGTTAAACATGAAAACAGTGTCAGCGTCTCCTTTCTGCTAAAGCGTCTCAGTGTGTTCATGTTTTTACTCGCGTCTGAAAATAAAAAGTATTATTTAGACACATGTTGGAGGCAACTAATATAATCACTGTCCATTTTTCTTATATGTCAACTACCCACAATATTGAGGTCAATGCAAACAATATCAGTTGATGTCAGTTTGTACTATATTTATCTTAAACGTTATTATTAGACTATTTTATAATTTACTTATATTTTCTTTACATTTGCACTTTATTGTAAAAAATTTAGGCTACTTCAATAAAATAAAATTCCATTATTCTACTTTAAATCGAAATAATAAATCAAGATTTCCTCGATTGTAGTTACATTTTAATAAAACATACACAAACATTCGTATTCTAACTGTATCACAAAGTGTGGAAAATTAAAGAAAAATTAAGAAAAGCCCACGTCACTGATTGTGTGAATGTAACAAATATTAAACAAAAAGCTCTTCTCTTCACTGCTACTATAGTCACTACTCATCTGAGTCATGTGATACTGAACCAATAAGAACATGTTTACATCACTGCTGCATTCCCACACACCAATACATGAACCATCAGAGCCGGAATCATGAATACAATACAAAAGTGACTATTACAAGACGTGTAATGATTGACACGTGTGATTAAAGAGTGCACGTTTCATGTGTTTCTTCTGGAATCATGCTGTTGGAGGTCTTTGGTGGAGTGCTGGAATGATGAAAATATTGCACTCTTCATTATCGTCTAACTATATAACTCAAGCTTATGAAAGAAGCTCACTAACAACCCGCCATGACATGCACTGGCGTTCAGCGTGACCAGAGCGCGGCGGAGATGAGCTGCTCGGGGCCCGGGGGGGCGTCCCCTGACGGCAGGAGCGCCGCTGGCGGGGGGGTCTTCTGCTGCCGGACCGGGAGGCTGCCGAGGAGGAACTGGGGAGCTTGTAACAACAGTTTTGGTGTTCTAGACCAGAAGACAAAACAGACAAAACACAATCAGAGGCTTAGCATACAAAGGTTTTCATAATAAAACTTACAAAAACACACTAAAGTTCTTCACTTGGGGGTAAAAATGAGTTGAATATGCGTGATCAGTGATTATACTGTTATACATCCTGACGCCGGGGTTTTGATGAATATGTAAATATGTGCTGCTACGCTTTCCTTTCAATAACATAAACACAACAGAAATGAGAAAACACCAGTTCAGAAAGCATCTGAACACACTTTCTACAGTAGATGCTTTAAAGCAGCAGCTTTACAGTGTTAAACATGAAAACAGTGTCAGCGTCTCCTTTCTGCTATAAAGCGTCTCAGTGTGTTCATGTTTATACTAGCGTCTGGCCTCGACTGACTGAACAGAAGAAATAAACCGGAGAAGTTTTACACCTCATAGAAGGCGGAGCCTCAGAGACACACCCACATATTACAGCATCACTGGCCAATGGGAGTTCAGAGGCGTTTACCAGCCGTTTCAAACTGTATACGAACACCAAGTGAAGTTAGTTTTGGCCTGATTGTGTCACACCATCGATTTCGCTTGAAGTTTATCGGGACCTTAACAAAAAACTGATGACCTGCACTTGGAAAAACACTGACAGAAATACATTAGCAAACCTTTAGTTAGCATTAAAGGGTTAATTCAAAGAAATTAACATTATGTCATAATTTTCACACCCTCGTGTTGTTTTAAACTTTCTTCAATGTCACAGATGTTTGGCAGAAAGTTCACGCTTCTCTTTTCCTGATCAAGCTCATGTTAATCACTGCTTATCGTCGCTCAATCCAGTCATTCCAACAGAAATCGCTCATGTTCAAGTTGGTCGCGTGAATTCGCCACGCTGACCAATAGAGAGGTGCGGGGTTAATATGACCGCACCTTAACGCGAGATTTCCACCCCCCCAAACCAGCTCAGCACAAACTCCGCCCCACAGCCGATTCTAGAGACTTCATTGGCCATGCCCATCACAGTGCAACACTAACCCTTCTCTACACCCTAATCTTAACCAATGGGACTGGCTGCAGGGTGGGGTTTGCACTGAACTGGTTTGGGCGGGAAAATCACATCCTTAACACACTGGGCATCGCTACGCTCCACAACACCCTGAAGCCGCCCTCCTCTGCACTCCACAGACGGCAGGCAATAGATCCTATGGAGAGTCTGCATGGGTGCCGATCATTTTTAGATCCCATTTGAGCTTAGGATTTGTTAAAAAAATTAACTCGAGAGAATACACAGTATGTGACACACAATCAAATCAGTGTGCACAAGCTTTAACTTTATCAGAAACACTTGATACCTTTAAAAATGCATAGTTATTGATAAGATAATGAACTCTATTGTCACTCTCTGAACTCTATTATTTTTGCTCATGTGAAAGTTATGACTCAAGTCTTCTGAAGTCAGTGTGAGGAACAGACTCAAACTTAAGTTAATATTCACTGTTGCTCTCAAATCTATCCGCTCCTTCAGTCGGATGTTACACAATACCATTTCCGGGTCCAAGCTCTCTGTCAGATGCAACAAAAGGTGCTGATATACACTCACAAACTATACTGAAAAATCCCCATCCTGACCTTTATCTCTCTCACTGACAATGAGGGCATCTCAGGAACCGCACTCCAATGGTTCAGGTCTTCTCTCTCAGCAGGACCTTCAGGGTGTCGTGGAGGAGTGAGTGTCTACGACCAACATCTAGCTACTGGAGTGCCTCAGGGCTCAGTGCTGGGACCGCTTCTCTTCTCCATCTACATGTCATCACTAGTGTCTGTCATTCAGAAACATGGTTTTCTCATCACTGTTATCATCTAGCTACTGGAGTGCCTCAGGGCTCAGTGCTGGGACTGCTTCTCTTCTCCATCTACAAGTCCTCACTAGTGTCCGTCATTCAGAAACATGGTTTATCCCATCACTGTTATCATCTAGCTACTGGAGTGCCTCAGGGCTCAGTGCTGGGACCGCTTCTCTTCTCCATCTACATGTCATCACTAGGATCTGTCATTCAGAAACATGGTTTCTCCCATCACTGTTATCATCTAGCTACTGGAGTGCCTCAGGGCTCAGTGCTGGGACCGCTTCTCTTCTCCATCTACATGTCATCACTAGGATCTGTCATTCAGAAACATGGTTTCTCCCATCACTGTTATCATCTAGCTACTGGAGTGCCTCAGGGCTCAGTGCTGGGACCGCTTCTCTTCTCCATCTACATGTCATCACTAGGATCTGTCATTCAGAAACATGGTTTATCCCATCACTGTTATCATCTAGCTACTGGAGTGCCTCAGGGCTCAGTGCTGGGACCGCTTCTCTTCTCCATCTACATGTCATCACTAGGATCTGTCATTCAGAAACATGGTTTATCCCATCACTGTTATCATCTAGCTACTGGAGTGCCTCAGGGCTCAGTGCTGGGACCGCTTCTCTTCTCCATCTACATGTCATCACTAGGATCTATCATTCAGAAACATGGTTTATCCCATCACTGTTATCATCTAGCTACTGGAGTGCCTCAGGGCTCAGTGCTGGGACTGCTTCTCTTCTCCATCTACATGTCATCACTAGTGTCTGTCATTCAGAAACATGGTTTATCCCATCACTGTTATCATCTAGCTACTGGAGTGCCTCAGGGCTCAGTGCTGGGACTGCTTCTCTTCTCCATCTACATGTCATCACTAGTGTCTGTCATTCAGAAACATGGTTTCTCCCATCACTGTTATCATCTAGCTACTGGAGTGCCTCAGGGCTCAGTGCTGGGACCGCTTCTCTTCTCCATCTACATGTCATCACTAGGATCTGTCATTCAGAAACATGGTTTCTCCCATCACTGTTATCATCTAGCTACTGGAGTGCCTCAGGGCTCAGTGCTGGGACCGCTTCTCTTCTCCATCTACATGTCATCACTAGGATCTATCATTCAGAAACATGGTTTATCCCATCACTGTTATCATCTAGCTACTGGAGTGCCTCAGGGCTCAGTGCTGGGACTGCTTCTCTTCTCCATCTACATGTCATCACTGGGATCTGTCACTCAGAAACATGGGTTATCCAATCACTGTTATCATCTAGCTACTGGAGTGCCTCAGGGCTCAGTGCTGGGACCGCTTCTCTTCTACATCTACATGTCATCACTAGAATCTGTCATTCAGAAACATGGTTTTCCCATCACTGTTATCATCTAGCTACTGGAGTGCCTCAGGGCTCAGTGCTGGGACCGCTTTTCTTCTCCATCTACATGTCATCACTAGGATCTGTCACTCAGAAACATGGTTTATCCCATCACTGTTATCATCTAGCTACTGGAATGTCTCAGGGCTTGAGATAGTATTCTCACTTGAATCGAGTCGAGGCTTGGACCCGGAAACAGTATTCCTTACATCACGACTTAACCAGCGGATCGCACTGTGACGCTCAATACTCACACAACAGAATCCTGGGATCTGAATACTGCTATGATACTCTCTTTAGGCTGATTACTCATTACATTTTGCGTTACACAGAAGGCAGAACCGATTAATGTTTGTGTGAGGGATGAGGATGCATTACAGTAAAGAAGGAAAGGTTGACTTTACTCTTTAGCCGCTTCCTCCTTCAGCGTAGCGTCGGGTCTGTGCATGATGCTGTAGGGGAACGCCGCTCCGCTGCAGGAACCGTAGCTTAGCTTACCCAGCCGAGACGGGCTCTTGATGCTGCCGGGCGGCCGGCCGGGACTCACCTTATAGCCCGCGGCCTTGGTGGTGCCCAGGGGCCGGCCCGGACTGGTCTTAAACCCGGCGGCTTTAGTGGTGCCCAGCGGTCTGCCCGTGCTGGTTCTGTAACCGGCGGATTTGGTGGTTCCCGCCGGCCGGCCGCGTTTCCCAGACCTCCCGGACGCTCCCTTCTTTTTAGAGTCCCCGCTTCTGTGGTTTCCCTGAGGTCCGACGGGCCCCTGCGGCAGACGTGGCTCCTCGCGGCACGAGGGGGACTTGAGGACCGGCGGCGGCGGCAGGTACGCGAAGCACATCTGCCGAGAGCGCTGAGGGGGGGAAGACTGGTAAAACTTGGTGGGGCACAAATCAAAGTGGCTCGGCGAGAGCCTCCCGTCCTCCGCTAAACACGAGGGCCGTCCGTCGACGCAGTATTCGCTGCTGCTGGACACCTGACGCATCATCTTCTGTTGACAGATGGGACATATGTGTGTGACAGAGGCTTTGAGTCTTATTTTGTGTGGCTAAAAAGACTCCATGAAACAGGAAGCTAGGGGGCGTATCGAAGGAGTGGGACGGACCCTCTCATTTGATTGGTCAGAACTTTACCGAGTGCGAGAGTAGTCAATGTTTCTTAAGGCCCATTCACACCAAGATTTTTAACGTTAATGGATGATATCGGTCTGTTTATTCTTAGTTTTGTCGTCTATCGCGTCAACGGTGACATATTATGACTCTTTTCATTAGATGTAATATAAATCTAGTCCTCAAATGTGTCTGTGATATTTCAGCTCACAATACATTTTTGGGTGTGAGCAAAAATGCGCCTTTTTGTGTGTGTCTCTTTAAATGCAAATGAGCTTTAGCTCCGCCTCCATTCAGAAGAGGGCGGAGCCTTCACACGAGCTTCAGAGACTCCGGCAATAACACCACAGGCCGATCTCACTGATCCAGAGTCAGGAGTAACAGCAGCGAGTGCAGCCTTACGGAGAGACTCAGGGAGAGCTTCACTTTTACACGTTTCTGAATGTTAGCGGAGACATTTCTGTAGTTGTTGTGGAGTTACACTGATCATCTCCTCATCATGTTGAACTCTTCCACAAGTGTCCACAGTTCCTGAGGTGTTTATAAGACAGCGCTGACATGTTCTGGTCAATAGTGTTCAGTGTCGTCTGTGCTCGACCACAGAACAGTTTCAGGCTTTGCTGGATCTTCTCCAGTGCGTTAGAACTGGTCTCTGTTGGCGCTCGCCGAACCCAATGTCGCTGGTGTGTGTAAACGTGCAGATTAAGGGCTGGTGATTTTATAATAAGATTCTCTACATACTTTAGAAGGGGATGAAATCTGATCGGCTTATTTTTTGACATGCTCTCAGAGAAAGACTCACCAGAACAGAGTTACTGGGATTCACTTTTCACGTTTTCAGTGTCGGTAGAAGCACCGGATTACAGCACTTACACACAAGAAAAGTCAGATGTTCATGATGTGGTCCCTTTAAATGCTCAAGCTCTTTAAAGCAGGATGGATTCTGATTGGCTGTCAATGATGTTATCGTTTATCAGCTGGAAAATTTTTTTATTCTGAATGTGGCTCCAACGATATTATTATTCTGTGCCGTTATCGTTATAGTTGTGGACGATTATGAAAACGTAATAGCTATTGTTATGGTTATCATTCTTGGTGTGAACGGACCTTTATAATCTATTTTCTCGTTGATATAAATGCATATCTGGTTAAAGTAAATGGTTAAATGGTCAAAGCTCACAGACATTGACTCTCATGTTGATTTCATGGGGTCTTCAAGTGTTTGCTTGAAACTCTTTACAACAACAGAACTCAAAACATCTTCATATATGTGTGTGAGTGAATGCATAGCTTCTGTTTTATAATAGTTAATAAAGACAGATCATGCATCAGTCAGGGCTATATTAGCATGCATAGCTTTAAATGTGACATGTTACATTATAAATGCACACAGCTATCATCACATGACAAAGCCTCTATTGTTGTCCTCTATATTACTAATAACAGTGACAAAGTCAAAGATACATTTGATTTGATGAAATACAAATTCCAGTTCATGCAAACTTACAGAAACATCATTTGTTTGTAAAGAGATTATGAATGACTGTACCTCGCGTTAATGTCGACAGCGGAACGGAAAGGGTTAAATGTGACATTTCTGTCCCATTTTGAGTGAATTTGGACTGATTAGGATCGAAGCCCAGCGGATAAAATCAAAGAGATTGACGTTCACCTTGGTGTTGAGAAAACGTGTCAAAGATTCCTTCCTAATTTTAAGAGATGCTTTAGAAACGAGCGTCAGCCATTGATATTAAATATTAAGAAATCAAACGGGAACGCGCATGCGCGCTGAGTGTGCGCGCAGTGGATGGAGCAGCATCGAGTTTATTCTTCTGCTCGATGGAGATAAATAAAGCTGAATCTGCTTGAACTCTTCCCTGTGTGTTTTCACTTCAGCGCTTATAAGTGTCTGTCATTATTCAGATGCTCAAACAGGAACCAGAGACACGTGGTACACGCTACTTTCCTCAACGCTGACCAGGACAGACCAATCACAGTCGCTCAGGGTTAACCAATCACAGTCGCTCATGACTTACTGGACCGAGCATTGAGTATTCGTGTTAATACATAGAGTATTAGTTTTGATTGACAGGTGTCAATCCTTGAACAACCAGTCAAACCGTGCATATCATTATTGTGTTAATAATGTTGAATCAGGATCAGCTCCTCTTGCAGCATCTCTTCTCTTCTGATGACGAGGGCGGGGCTATAACCTGTCACTCACAGGAGATCAGCCAATGGCAAGCCACTACCATCCTCATAAATGACATGGTACATGAATTTGCTAACTTAGAAGTATCATGGTCATGGTAAACCCATCTATCATTACGGTCTGATAATTATTTTCTAGTATGGTATTAATACTTCGTTTGGAGATTATACATGATACAATCATGAATTCAGTCTAACTAGCTATTTTCTCTGAAACGGTTCATTTGTATGGTTTTCTTACTATCGCCTAGCGCTCTCAGTTAATGGGAGAGATGCATGAGGTGAACCATAGAATCATGATCCTTAAACATATCTAAACGATAACTCTCTTTCTTGCTGCAAATGACCGATGGAAAAGTGAAGTCCTGATAGAACAAACTGAGATCATGGAACAAGGAAATACACAAGAAAAAAAACACTTTATTTCCAAATTAAGTTCACAATTACATGGGAGTTTTCTAAAATATTCAACGTGAGCGATGCAAACAACAGGTAAAAACTTCCAGAGATCCAAACCTGGTGTTCGATCAGCTGACAAAACCGAAGCCTTGTGTGAGAGCCCAGCGCACCGCTCTACAGGACCTTGTACCGGCCCTTGCTGGTCGGCTGGTAGGAGTTTTGCTGAAACACACACACAAGCGCACAGTCAGTGAACACACTCCTCCTCAGGTGTATGATTGAGCGTGAGAGCAGATGCGGTGTGTGTTCATGCGGATCAGTCGTTCAGAGAGGGAAGCGGCTCGCTCTAAACACAGATTATACACTGTGATTACTGACACTAGACCCGTGTGTGTACTTATGGACACTTGTGTCTTTAGTTTTGTTTGTGTGATAACTTTGCCTGTGTTAATGCCAACTGCATAAATATTAGCACAGGTGTATGTTCACTCTTTCACCCCCATTTCCTTTAATAACTCTATCTTGCACTAGTAACACAGAATAGTTCCTCTCAGGACCTTAAAGACAAAAATATCCCCATTAAAAAAAGTTTAATCCCAGGGCCGTTTCACTATAAACTGATGCAATCTTAAGAGGCTTTCATTCATTCATACTGTAAATCCCAATCCCAGCGCTGTGTCCCAGTGGGTTTCACTGCCTCTAATGGGGAAATGTGTTCCTGCGCTCACACACACACACACACACACACACACACACACACACACACACACACACACACACACACACACACACACTGAACGCTCATTTACTGTGAGCTCGTTTAGATTTATGACTTTGATTTTCTAGCAGTTTTAGAGTTCAACATGTTTCATAAAATATACATTTTATATAAAATAAATAATTTTCATAAACAAAGCTATATACATTTTTTGTTTTACTTTTTAAATATTTTTTTACTTCAGCAATAATCTGCCAAGGGTCTTCTTTAAACCGAGACCAAACTTCAGTCTGTGCTGTGTGTGTGTAACTCCTGTGTGTGTGTAACTCCTGTGTGTGTGTGTAACTCCTGCGTGTGTGTGTAACTCCTGCGTGTGTGTAACTCCTGTGTGTGTGTGTAACTCCTGTGTGTGTGTGTAACTCCTGTGTGTGTGTAACTCCTGTGTGTGTGTAACTCCTGTGTGTGTGTGTAACTCCTGCGTGTGTGTAACTCCTGTGTGTGTGTGTAACTCCTGCGTGTGTGTAACTCCTGTGTGTGTGTGTAACTCCTGTGTGTGTGTGTAACTCCTGTGTGTGTGTGTAACTCCTGTGTGTGTGTAACTCCTGTGTGTGTGTAACTCCTGCTGTGTGTGTAACTCCTGTGTGTGTGTAACTCCTGTGTGTGTGTAACTCCTGCTGTGTGTGTAGCTCCTGTGTGTGTGTGTGTGTGTAGCTCCTGTGTGTGTGTAACTCCTGTGTGTGTGTAACTCCTGTGTGTGTGTAACTCCTGTGTGTGTGTAACTCCTGTGTGTGTGTGTGTAACTCCTGTGTGTGTGTGTGTAACTCCTGTGTGTGTGTAACTCCTGTGTGTGTGTAACTCCTGTGTGTGTGTAACTCCTGTGTGTGTGTAACTCCTGTGTGTGTGTAACTCCTGTGTGTGTGTAACTCCTGTGTGTGTGTAACTCCTGTGTGTGTGTAACTCCTGCGTGTGTGTAACTCCTGCGTGTGTGTAACTCCTGCGTGTGTGTAACTCCTGCGTGTGTGTAACTCCTGCGTGTGTGTAACTCCTGCGTGTGTGTAACTCCTGCGTGTGTGTAACTCCTGCGTGTGTGTAACTCCTGCGTGTGTGTAACTCCTGCGTGTGTGTAACTCCTGCGTGTGTGTAACTCCTGCGTGTGTGTAACTCCTGTGTGTGTGTAACTCCTGTGTGTGTGTAACTCCTGCGTGTGTGTAACTCCTGCGTGTGTGTAACTCCTGTGTGTGTGTAACTCCTGTGTGTGTGTAACTCCTGCTGTGTGTAACTCCTGCGTGTGTGTAACTCCTGCTGTGTGTAACTCCTGCGTGTGTGTAACTCCTGCTGTGTGTGTAACTCCTGTGTGTGTGTAACTCCTGTGTGTGTGTAACTCCTGCGTGTGTGTAACTCCTGCGTGTGTGTAACTCCTGCGTGTGTGTAACTCCTGCGTGTGTGTAACTCCTGCGTGTGTGTAACTCCTGCGTGTGTGTAACTCCTGCGTGTGTGTAACTCCTGCGTGTGTGTAACTCCTGTGTGTGTAACTCCTGCGTGTGTGTAACTCCTGCTGTGTGTAACTCCTGTGTGTGTGTGTAACTCCTGCGTGTGTGTAACTCCTGTGTGTGTGTAACTCCTGCGTGTGTGTAACTCCTGCGTGTGTGTAACTCCTGCGTGTGTGTAACTCCTGCGTGTGTGTAACTCCTGCGTGTGTGTAACTCCTGCGTGTGTGTAACTCCTGCGTGTGTGTAACTCCTGCGTGTGTGTAACTCCTGCGTGTGTGTAACTCCTTCTGTGTGTGTAACTCCTGCTGTGTGTGTAACTCCTGCTGTGTGTGTAACTCCTGTGTGTGTGTAACTCCTGCGTGTGTGTAACTCCTGTGTGTGTGTAACTCCTGCGTGTGTGTAACTCCTGTGTGTGTGTAACTCCTGCTGTGTGTGTAACTCCTGCTGTGTGTGTAACTCCTGTGTGTGTGTAACTCCTGTGTGTGTGTAACTCCTGCTGTGTGTGTAACTCCTGCTGTGTGTGTAACTCCTGTGTGTGTAACTCCTGCGTGTGTGTAACTCCTGCTGTGTGTGTAACTCCTGCTGTGTGTGTAACTCCTGCTGTGTGTGTAACTCCTGTGTGTGTAACTCCTGCGTGTGTGTAACTCCTGCTGTGTGTGTAACTCCTGCGTGTGTGTAACTCCTGCGTGTGTGTAACTCCTGCGTGTGTGTAACTCCTGCTGTGTGTGTAACTCCTGCGTGTGTGTAACTCCTGCGTGTGTGTAACTCCTGCGTGTGTGTAACTCCTGCGTGTGTGTAACTCCTGCGTGTGTGTAACTCCTGCGTGTGTGTAACTCCTGCGTGTGTGTAACTCCTGCGTGTGTGTAACTCCTGCGTGTGTGTAACTCCTGCGTGTGTGTAACTCCTGCGTGTGTGTAACTCCTGCTGTGTGTGTAACTCCTGCGTGTGTGTAACTCCTGCGTGTGTGTAACTCCTGCGTGTGTGTAACTCCTGCGTTGTGTGTAACTCCTGCGTGTGTGTAACTCCTGCGTGTGTGTAACTCCTGCTGTGTGTGTAACTCCTGCGTGTGTGTAACTCCTGCGTGTGTGTAACTCCTGCTGTGTGTGTAACTCCTGTGTGTGTGTAACTCCTGCGTGTGTGTAACTCCTGCTGTGTGTGTAACTCCTGTGTGTGTGTAACTCCTGTGTGTGTGTAACTCCTGTGTGTGTGTAACTCCTGCGTGTGTGTAACTCCTGCTGTGTGTGTAACTCCTGCTGTGTGTGTAACTCCTGTGTGTGTGTAACTCCTGTGTGTGTGTAACTCCTGTGTGTGTGTAACTCCTGCGTGTGTGTAACTCCTGCGTGTGTGTAACTCCTGTGTGTGTGTGTAACTCCTGTGTGTGTGTAACTCCTGTGTGTGTGTAACTCCTGTGTGTGTGTAACTCCTGTGTGTGTGTAACTCCTGTGTGTGTGTGTAACTCCTGTGTGTGTGTAACTCCTGTGTGTGTGTAACTCCTGTGTGTGTGTAACTCGTGTGTGTGTGTAACTCCTGCGTGTGTGTGTAACTCCTGCGTGTGTGTAACTCCTGCGTGTGTGTAACTCCTGCTGTGTGTGTAACTCCTGCGTGTGTGTAACTCCTGCGTGTGTGTAACTCCTGCGTGTGTGTAACTCCTGCTGTGTGTGTAACTCCTGCGTGTGTGTAACTCCTGTGTGTGTGTAACTCCTGCTGTGTGTGTAACTCCTGTGTGTGTGTAACTCCTGCGTGTGTGTAACTCCTGCTGTGTGTGTAACTCCTGTGTGTGTGTAACTCCTGTGTGTGTGTAACTCCTGTGTGTGTGTAACTCCCGCGTGTGTGTAACTCCTGCGTGTGTGTAACTCCTGCGTGTGTGTAACTCCTGCGTGTGTGTAACTCCTGCTGTGTGTGTATCTCGTGTGTAACTGGTGTGTAACTGGTGTGTAACCCGTGTGTGTAACTGGTGTGTAACCCGTGTGTAACCCGTGTGTGTAACTGGTGTGTAACTGGTGTGTAACTGGTGTGTAACTGGTGTGTAACCGGTGTGTAACTGATGTGTAACTGGTGTGTAACCCGTGTGTGTAACCCGTGTGTGTAACTGGTGTGTAACTGGTGTGTAACTGGTGTGTAACTGATGTGTAACTGGTGTGTAACCCGTGTGTAACCCGTGTGTAACCCGTGTGTAACCCGTGTGTAACCGGTGTGTAACTGGTGTGTAACTGATGTGTAACTGGTGTGTAACCCGTGTGTGTAACTGGTGTGTAACTGGTGTGTAACCCGTGTGTAACCCGTGTGTGTAACTGGTGTGTAACCCGTGTGTAACCCGTGTGTGTAACTGGTGTGTAGCTCGTGTGTAACTGGTGTGTAACCCGTGTGTAACCCGTGTGTGTAACTGGTGTGTAGCTCGTGTGTAACATGTGTAACTGGTGTGTAACCCGTGTGTGTAACTGGTGTGTAACTGGTGTGTAACCCGTGTGTAACCCGTGTGTGTAACTGATGTGTAACTGGTGTGTAACCCGTGTGTGTAACTGGTGTGTAACTGGTGTGTAACCCGTGTGTAACCCGTGTGTGTAGCTGGTGTGTAGCTCGTGTGTAACTGGTGTGTAACCGGTGTGTAACTGATGTGTAACTGATGTGTAACTGATGTGTAACTGGTGTGTAACTGGTGTGTAACTGATGTGTAACTGGTGTGTAGCTCGTGTGTAACTGGTGTGTAAACGGTGTGTAACCGGTGTGTAACCCGTGTGTGTAACTGGTGTGTAGCTCGTGTGTAACTGGTGTGTAACCGGTGTGTAACTGATGTGTAACTGATGTGTAACTGATGTGTAACTGGTGTGTAACTGGTGTGTAACTGATGTGTAACTGGTGTGTAGCTCGTGTGTAACTGGTGTGTAACCGGTGTGTAACTGATGTGTAACTGATGTGTAACTGGTGTGTAGCTCGTGTGTAACTGGTGTGTAACCGGTGTGTAACTGATGTGTAACTGATGTGTAACTGATGTGTAACTGGTGTGTAGTTCGTGTGTAACTGGTGTGTAACTGATGTGTAACTGATGTGTAACTGGTGTGTAACTGGTGTGTAACTGGTGTGTAACTGGTGTGTAACCCGTGTGTAACTGGTGTGTAACTGGTGTGTAGCTCGTGTGTAACTGGTGTGTAACTGGTGTGTAACTGGTGTGTAACTGGTGTGTAGCTCGTGTGTAACTGGTGTGTAACTGGTGTGTAACCGGTGTGTAACTGGTGTGTAGCTCGTGTGTAACTGGTGCAGGAGCGTTGAGTGGATGGTGGGGATGTACCAGGCGTATGAGCTCCTCCTTGATGAGTCGTGTGATCTCTGCCTTCGCCTTCTGCACGGCCAGCTCGTTCGCACCTGTAAACACACACACACACACACACACACACACACACACACACACACACACACACACACAGGTTTAGTCACGCGTCAGCAGAAGGCTCAGGTGTGTGTGAAGCGGCACGTACTCTCGATGGCCAGGTAGATCTTGCGCTCGCCCTCTTTGGGCTCTTTGCCCGGGGGGAAGTACGTCCCTCGTATGGTGATGGCGGCCTCTGAGTACTCTCCGATTCGCTGGAGCGCTTCCTTCGACGTGACCTTCCACCGGGCCGTCTGTGGAGACACAACAGTGTTTAGCACACACACACACACACACACGACCTTCCACCGGGCCGTCTGTGGAGACACAACAGTGTTTAGCACACACACACACACACACACACACACACAACCTTCCACCGGGCCGTCTGTGGAGACACATCAGTGTTTAGCACACACACACACACACACACACACACAACCTTCCACCGGGCCGTCTGTGGAGACACATCAGTGTTTAGCACACACACACACACACACACACACACACACACAACCTTCCACCGGGCCGTCTGTGGAGACACATCAGTGTTTAGCACACACACACACACACACACACACACACACACACACACAACCTTCCACCGGGCCGTCTGTGGAGACACATCAGTGTTTAGCACACACACACACACACACACACACACACACACACACACAACCTTCCACCGGGCCGTCTGTGGAGACACATCAGTGTTTAGCACACACACACACACACACACACACACACACACAACCTTCCACCGGGCCGTCTGTGGAGACACATCAGTGTTTAGCACACACACACACACACACACACACACACACACACACACACACACACACACACACACACACACACACACAACCTTCCACCGGGCCGTCTGTGGAGACACATCAGTGTTTAGCACACACACACACACACACACACACACACACGACCTTCCACCGGGCCGTCTGTGGAGACACATCAGTGTTTAGCACACACACACACACACACACACACACACACACACACGACCTTCCACCGGGCCGTCTGTGGAGACACAACAGTGTTTAGCACACACACACACACACACACACACACACACACACACACACACACACACACACACACACACACACACACACACACACACGACCTTCCACCGGGCCGTCTGTGGAGACACATCAGTGTTTAGCACACACACACACACACACACACACACACACACGACCTTCCACCGGGCCGTCTGTGGAGACACAACAGTGTTTAGCACACACACACACACACACACACACACACAACCTTCCACCGGGCCGTCTGTGGAGACACATCAGTGTTTAGCACACACACACACACACACACACACACAACCTTCCACCGGGCCGTCTGTGGAGACACATCAGTGTTTAGCACACACACACACACACACACACACACACACACAACCTTCCACCGGGCCGTCTGTGGAGACACATCAGTGTTTAGCACACACACACACACACACACACACACACACACACACACAACCTTCCACCGGGCCGTCTGTGGAGACACATCAGTGTTTAGCACACACACACACACACACACACACACACACACACACACAACCTTCCACCGGGCCGTCTGTGGAGACACATCAGTGTTTAGCACACACACACACACACACACACACACACACACAACCTTCCACCGGGCCGTCTGTGGAGACACATCAGTGTTTAGCACACACACACACACACACACACACACACACACACACACACACACACACACACACACACACACACACACACACACAACCTTCCACCGGGCCGTCTGTGGAGACACATCAGTGTTTAGCACACACACACACACACACACACACACACACGACCTTCCACCGGGCCGTCTGTGGAGACACATCAGTGTTTAGCACACACACACACACACACACACACACACACACACACGACCTTCCACCGGGCCGTCTGTGGAGACACAACAGTGTTTAGCACACACACACACACACACACACACACACACACACACACACACACACACACACACACACACACACACACACACACACGACCTTCCACCGGGCCGTCTGTGGAGACACATCAGTGTTTAGCACACACACACACACACACACACACACACACACACACGACCTTCCACCGGGCCGTCTGTGGAGACACGACAGTGTTTAGCACACACACACACACACACACACACACACACACAACCTTCCACCGGGCCGTCTGTGGAGACACATCAGTGTTTAGCACACACACACACACACACACACACACACAACCTTCCACCGGGCCGTCTGTGGAGACACAACAGTGTTTAGCACACACACACACACACACACACACACACACAACCTTCCACCGGGCCGTCTGTGGAGACACATCAGTGTTTAGCACACACACACACACACACACACACACACACACACACACACACAACCTTCCACCGGGCCGTCTGTGGAGACACATCAGTGTTTAGCACACACACACACACACACACACACACACACACACACAACCTTCCACCGGGCCGTCTGTGGAGACACATCAGTGTTTAGCACACACACACACACACACACACACACACACACAACCTTCCACCGGGCCGTCTGTGGAGACACATCAGTGTTTAGCACACACACACACACACACACACACACACACACACACACACACACAACCTTCCACCGGGCCGTCTGTGGAGACACATCAGTGTTTAGCACACACACACACACACACACACACACACACACACACACACACAACCTTCCACCGGGCCGTCTGTGGAGACACATCAGTGTTTAGCACACACACACACACACACACACACACACACACACACAACCTTCCACCGGGCCGTCTGTGGAGACACATCAGTGTTTAGCACACACACACACACACACACACACAACCTTCCACCGGGCCGTCTGTGGAGACACATCAGTGTTTAGCACACACACACACACACACACACACACACACACACACACACACAACCTTCCACCGGGCCGTCTGTGGAGACACAACAGTGTTTAGCACACACACACACACACACACACACACACACACACACAACCTTCCACCGGGCCGTCTGTGGAGACACATCAGTGTTTAGCACACACACACACACACACACACACACACACACACACACACACAACCTTCCACCGGGCCGTCTGTGGAGACACATCAGTGTTTAGCACACACACACACACACACACACACAACCTTCCACCGGGCCGTCTGTGGAGACACATCAGTGTTTAGCACACACACACACACACACACACACACACGACCTTCCACCGGGCCGTCTGTGGAGACACAACAGTGTTTAGCACACACACACACACACACACACACACACACACGACCTTCCACCGGGCCGTCTGTGGAGACACAACAGTGTTTAGCACACACACACACACACACACACACACACGACCTTCCACCGGGCCGTCTGTGGAGACACATCAGTGTTTAGCACACACACACACACACACACACACACACACACACACACACACACACACACACACACACACACACACACACACACACAACCTTCCACCGGGCCGTCTGTGGAGACACAACAGTGTTTAGCACACACACACACACACACACACACACACACACAACCTTCCACCGGGCCGTCTGTGGAGACACATCAGTGTTTAGCACACACACACACACACACACACACACACAACCTTCCACCGGGCCGTCTGTGGAGACACATCAGTGTTTAGCACACACACACACACACACACACACACACACACACACACACACACACACACACACACACACACACACACACACACACACACACACACGACCTTCCACCGGGCCGTCTGTGGAGACACGACAGTGTTTAGCACACACACACACACACACACACACACACACACAACCTTCCACCGGGCCGTCTGTGGAGACACATCAGTGTTTAGCACACACACACACACACACACACACACACACACACACACACACACACACACACACAACCTTCCACCGGGCCGTCTGTGGAGACACAACAGTGTTTAGCACACACACACACACACACACACACACACACACACACACAACCTTCCACCGGGCCGTCTGTGGAGACACATCAGTGTTTAGCACACACACACACACACACACACACACACACACACACACACACACAACCTTCCACCGGGCCGTCTGTGGAGACACATCAGTGTTTAGCACACACACACACACACACACACACACACACACACACACAACCTTCCACCGGGCCGTCTGTGGAGACACATCAGTGTTTAGCACACACACACACACACACACACACACACACACAACCTTCCACCGGGCCGTCTGTGGAGACACAACAGTGTTTAGCACACACACACACACACACACACACACACACACACAACCTTCCACCGGGCCGTCTGTGGAGACACATCAGTGTTTAGCACACACACACACACACACACACACACACACACACACACACACACACACACGACCTTCCACCGGGCCGTCTGTGGAGACACATCAGTGTTTAGCACACACACACACACACACACACACACGACCTTCCACCGGGCCGTCTGTGGAGACACATCAGTGTTTAGCACACACACACACACACACACACACACACACACACACACACGACCTTCCACCGGGCCGTCTGTGGAGACACATCAGTGTTTAGCACACACACACACACACACACACACACACACACACAACCTTCCACCGGGCCGTCTGTGGAGACACATCAGTGTTTAGCACACACACACACACACACACACACACACACACACACACACAACCTTCCACCGGGCCGTCTGTGGAGACACATCAGTGTTTAGCACACACACACACACACACACACACACACACACACAACCTTCCACCGGGCCGTCTGTGGAGACACAACAGTGTTTAGCACACACACACACACACACACACACACACACACACACACACACACACACACACACACACACACAACCTTCCACCGGGCCGTCTGTGGAGACACATCAGTGTTTAGCACACACACACACACACACACACACACACACACACACACACAACCTTCCACCGGGCCGTCTGTGGAGACACAACAGTGTTTAGCACACACACACACACACACACACACACACACACAACCTTCCACCGGGCCGTCTGTGGAGACACATCAGTGTTTAGCACACACACACACACACACACACACACACACACACACACACACACAACCTTCCACCGGGCCG